GGCGCTCCAGAGAGACACCCGTCATAACATGCCCTCCTGGCCCAGATCCAAGATCCAAGGAGGAACAGCATGGCATTGGCCAGCGTGCTTAACCTAACCGCAGGGCAGACACGGGGCATTTCCACGGGCAGGGGCAGAGAAGTCCCGTTTCCTACGCAGCCCCGTCTCCCCGCCCCCAATAACGTCAGTTCCCAAACTCCCCACCGTTTGCAATGGAGAGCTCACCCCCACCCCTCCGGCTCACTCTCAGCCCATCCTCGCACGCTGCCAACTGCAACTTCCAGACCACTGTCTCTCCTCTTTCCACCCCGGCCCCTTCCCAGCAGCCCTCCTTGCAGATCAAAACCTTGGACAGGCAAAGCCGCCTCATTAGCCCCAGACAACTTGAGCGGGGAAGTGAGCAGCCCCGGGACACCGCCCGATCTTCACCCCGAGGACAGGGCAGAGGCTTGGAACGGAAGACCAGCTGCTCCCATCGCTGTCACTTGAACCTCTGCGTCCACCCCATCCGACGCCCGACCCGGGCACCAGCCAGGGCAGAAATCATGTATATGAACGTGGAGCCGCAAAGCGAGACTGCGGAGAAGGCGCCCGCAACTGGGCAGCCAGGACGCCTTCGCAGCGTGTCCCTGGGCCAGGCGCTTTGCCTCAGTTTCCCCATCCTAACCGGCACCCATCTCTGCTCTCCCTGACCCTCATTCCTCTAGCATCTGTGCACTCCGCAGTCTGATGTACTTATCCTCACAGCCTCCGCCCCCCATGCCGCAGGGCAGGGCTACTGTCCCCAGTGTACAGATGGGAAACTGAGGCACAGAGAGACTAGGCCCAGGGTCACGCAGGAAGTCTGTGGCAAGGGAGGGATTTGACCCCAGGCCTGCCAAGAACTAGGCCAGCACCCGCTTGCCCATCAGGCTTGGCAAAGCTAAGCCATTCATGTTTGAGACGTGGGGCTGGCTTCCTGGAGGGAAGGTTTTACACTCTTTAGCGGCACACATTCTGAAGCAAATGTGCGTGGGGGTGGGGGGATTTTTGTTTCTTTACAAACTCCTATTAGTAAATATTTATATTTCAGTGGCCCTTAGCAGTCCCAGCCAAGATTGGGCCCCACTGTGCCAGGCGCTGTACAAACCTAGCAAGTGACAGTCCCTGCCCCAAATTCACTTCACCCAACAAACCAAGCCTGGTCAGAACCACCAGACCTCTAATCCCAGAATCTCCAAGCGTCCGAGTAACTCGCCACGCTCCTGGCGTCAGGTCAGAATTATCCTCATCTCCCCGACCAGGAGGCAGAGTTGCGGAGATGGAAAGTGATTTGCCATCCAGCAGCCAAGCTAGGAATGGCGCTCAGGTGAGTCCTGCTCCCCCAGAGACGGGAAGAGAACCCAGCAGGGCCAACTCCTGCTCCTTCTTCTAACCACCAGACCACACTGCCTCCTTCCCACCCACGGAGACCCAGTCGCATCTGGAGGAGCTGGCGGCAGCTGCTCACCTGCTTGCACCGAGACTGCGTGCAGTTTTAGGGCTGGAATGTTATGCGGCCATAATTACAGCTCCCGCACCCCGGGACTCGTCCGCCAACGTGCTCGGGCGGCGGGGAGAACGGAGGGTGAGACTGCACCTACGGGGCAATGCAGAACATGCCTTCGAAGGCGCCTAGAGCGCAGGAGGCCAGATCCAGTTTGCAGTTTAGACTGGTGCAAATCCAGAGCCGCATCGATTCGCTCTGGGTTTACACCTGTGAGGCTGCAAACAGAATCTGGCCAGGTGGCTGCCTACGCCGGACCACGGGCAGTCATCCGCAGCCGTGCAAAGGGAGCGCAGAATGCTACCAGATCACAAGAGCGATACGCTCCCTTCGCACGGCTGCAGACAACCA